CTAGAATGATGTACAAATGAGCGTTCTTGCTCATTTTGCCTCCGAGAAATGAGCAAAAACGGGACGGAAAACATGGAATTTTGACATAATCTTGCCCCTAAGTGTCTGATATTCAAATTTCGCTTTCTGGGTCAAAACTACTCGAATTTCCTCACTCACGTTGTTATGACTGGATCGAGTTTTCAATTCTCTATTCAACGATGCCAAACCTCCTTTTTTTCCGTACTCCTAAAACACCGCCAGACAACACCTCCAGAGGAATGCCGCCAATTTTGAATCACCCTGTATAAAAAGCTGGTTAATACCGGAATGCAAATAGCCAAAAGAGGCAAATGAAAGTGAACCTCTGCCTGTTTTGCAATCGAAATTGCCAAGAGATTCCGAGAACGAGAAAAACCAACTGGAAAAAAACAACAACTCACCACAGCACCCCTTTCGCTTGCATGGTCCGGGCTTAAATCCCTCCAAACACAAACATCACCTCCAAAATGGAACTAAAGTACTAAACCATTGATTGTAACACTGGAAACTTGCATGGGAGGCCACAATTTGCACCTTCCCGATAAATCGTTTAATGCGTATGGTAAACATGGGCAAAATATTGACTGATCTTTTCTTATGTTCGCCCATATGGTGCCCGATTTAGCTTTCATTGCGACCATTTCAAGGCGGATTCGCTGTCCTTTTGAAAGGTCTCTCTGTCCATCATCGGGCCTGCATTCAGCTCTAATTAAGGCTGTGTTGTTGCACAACTGCACTCTTGCAATTCCATCGAAATCTGCTATTCACCGGCGGCTATATTTAGGGAACGGCGCGCAATTTTCTCTCTTGCATTTGTCGATGGCGAATTGCTCATTATATTGGCTTTGGATGTGGAAAAATTTTCCATTTGCTTACAGTTTTCACTCGCGGGACGGAGCAAACATGAGAATTTAGTTCAATCCGGGATAGCAAGTATTAATAGCCCGATGGCTTGCAAACATTTTGCGCCTTAGCAGCGGACGAAAGCGATCAGCGTTCAGCAATCGTGAAAATATCGTCGGAAACTGATTGGAAAAGCCGGGATTTGCAGGAAACTTATGGTGCGATGCGCATTGGCTGTGGTTGGCCCGATCGCGAAAACAAAATACATCATAACTCATTATCAAGTCAAAATCAATTCCTGGGCTTCAGTCATTTATTGTCTATTTATCAAATTAAAATACGTTTCGGTGTTTTCCACCATCATCAGTTTCATAGATACTGATGTCATCATAGAAACTGATGATGGTGGAAAACACCGAAACGTATTTTAATTGTGTATGACGTAAGTAAATAACGAAACCGATAAATTCTAAACGATAGAAGCCGTGCAGATAAAGGTTGACATGTACAGTAGCGGTAGGATATCATGCGGAACTATTTTTTTAAACTACAGTTTTAAAGGGAAGATTTTATGTACAAAAGCTGACCGAAAATTTCGATCATCCTATTCAAGTACGTCGTTCTACCGCCCAACGAGAACTTTGTCAAATTCGTAGAACTCAGGGCTTGAGCTTATCACAAGCTCCTCCCT